GTTTATTAAATAGCTAATAAACTTTTTCTTATTAGTAAATTATTTTAACTATTAATCTATTACTTATTATACCTAAGCCGTCTAGTAGCCCTTATAGCCAGCCTAACCTGCGGCCTACGCTGCAGCTTGTGACTGGGTCGTAACAGTTCTTGGTTTTCCTTAAGGCCTTAAAAGACTAAAACTATCTATTTATATAAGAAGTTAGTAAGAACCTTCTGCTCTTATCCCGTGATCCTAGCCCTTATGTAACAGGGCGATTTCCGTGTAACAGATATATAACCTAGTTGATTAGGCTGCTTTATATTATTATAACTAGATAATATATACCGGTCCCAAGAGACAACAATAAGAGATATATTTCAGAAACAGTAATACCAGAGCTGATGTTCGGTAGATAGTTCGGCGGTAAAATCTCCATAATATTTGAAAACTTTATCAGTAATCTTCAACCACCGCTGGTGAAGCTTTGTGATATAATGAGCCTTCGTGTAATCCCAGTATTCCGGATACTATCCCGAGTTCTCCCAATCGACGATTCCTGAAAGCCTCCCATTACGCATCAAAATATTTCGCATATTCAGATCCCCGTGCGTAAACACGATTTGATGCCCGCTGCGATGCGAAACATGCGGCAATGCGCCGACGCGAAGGGTGTCGTTAAACTCCTCCTCGGTAACAAATGGTCCAACGAAATCTCGTCCGTCACTGTCAATATTCAACCCCGCAATGATTCTGTAATCATAACATGCCTTGCCAAGTGCATTGGTTATGGCATATTCAGGGGCAACCACCTTCGGTATCGCCCGCAATTCCGCAAGGCTTCTCTGTAGGTCGCAAACTAAAGTCGTCTCCTCGTCATCGCTGAGCGTATCAATGCACATTCCAAGGCGGATGCCACTGACTCTAGTGGTCAGAAGATAAGACTTGTCCGAGTCTGATACAAGATCCAATGCGCGAGGAACTGGTATTTCTGTATGGCGCCTTACGAGCTGTATCGCAGCATACTCATTGGCCAAGCTGTCGTGATATTCCATACTCGCAACCTTGACGTACATGCCAAGCGGAAGTCTTTGAACCTTGAGGCTACAAGATGGGCCATACATATGAGCCCCGAGACATATGAGACCACGATACGCTCTTACGCGGATGAGGACCGGCACCAACAGCCAAACCATCAGAACGACTGCAGTACCCCATTCTGAGAAACAGCACCATCGGGAAGCTGCCGGCAGATTGGGGACTCTGTTAGATATTTTACTTGCGATCTCTCGCGAGACCAGAGCCCACCGAATGGGTTTCGCGAATCGTGACATGATTTGTAATGCAAAAGCGTCTGGAGAATCCACACAGGAAAGGGATTGGGTTGTAAAATGGTCAGTCCGAAGCACTGGGGTCTTCTCGATGATGGGGGGCCAAGCTGGACCCCCAATTCTGATAACAGTAACACGGTACTTGGTTTGTGTAAGTTGGGATGACCTAAATGGTTGAACATACGAACAAGGGCAAAAGAATACCTACCTCGGATCCTTTGCCGATTGCGAACTGAAAAAGTCCTTCCGAAAACGCTGCAGCCGCAGATTTGCGGACAAGCCAATAGTTCCGATAGGGATTTGAGGTTGCGTTCGCGTTCGACAGCACCCAGTCCCGCAGGTCGGGTCCGACGAAAGCCCCAAAAATTTCATGCAATTTCTAAGAAAACCTGTCAATAAACGTATGAATAATGTTTGACCAAGACAACAACTACCTCATCCACGTGGATCTTCTTTGCCGGCAGTATAGGAGCGACGACCAGCGGATCCCAGAAAGAGTTGCCTAGTCCGGTGATGCAACACCTTCCACGGTCTCTTGCGATGATGTTGGCAATGACGGCTTTGTCATGAAGTTGGTAGGTCGGGCCTTTGTGGGCAACTGTTCGTAATTAGTATAACTTGACCCTACTCGGAACCTCGTCGACGTACACATATTGATCAACTGTTTCCAATCAGACACAAACGATTCCAAATCGAGACCACCGCCGTCAACAAAACATCTTTGGAGCATGTAGCGAGCGGCTTGCACAGGGTCTGCCGAGTCTTGGAGGAAACATTCCAGCAATTGTCCGTCTGGGTGTGGAAGTTCTATACTCCGCACGAATTTCAGCGCCAGTTCAAATTCAGTTGTAGCCTCTGCCATGGACAATGTATCGTGGCGTTGACGCCGACTTTGTGCATCAAAAAGAAAGGAGGGAGAGAGAGGGAGAGAGATGATATGTTCGAAGATAGCGGGATGAAAAGCACGGGGCGACACTTCTATCAGAAGCAACGCCTTCGTAAACAATGTGAATGCTCTGATCAGTATACAGGACAGGCGGGTTAAAAAGCCTCAACGATTCGCTTGTTTGTTGGTTGGCTGAGCAGCGGGTCGACGGTCACCTGACATCGCCGTAGCTAGGCGTGACAATTACAGTGTACGGTCTGGTATTAAACTTATAAAGAAACCCTGTCTTCAACGCACGGCAACAACTAGAATAAGAACAAACAAGAGAAAATTCAGTAAGACTCTGAAAAATGCTACGAGAGACTATAGTATCAAGTCAATAACAGTCATTGCACTCGCTTGTATACAAGCCAAGGCAGCTCGTATGTTTCTTGCGGTTGGCGACTCAAGGATAAGCATTTAAGAGACAACATATGATCGTTGGGCATTAAGTTATCGCAGAAACAGCTGCAGTACCTGAAGGTGTAAGGTTATTTGATCGGCTATTGCGTGGGTTGAGTGATAACAAGACCTATTGTACAAAGTGTTGTAGTATCGTGATATTTATTGGAATTAAACTTTAGAAGAGACTCGAAGCAGGAAAGGGACAATTTGATTGTCTGGAGGGCAGAAATAAGTGTTGTTGGTCAAGCGTCTGGAGTTTGATCGACCGTCGGGTGAAGAGTCGTATTGGGTGTATCCTAATCCATCATCGGGTTGTGATTCCATCATTGGCTATGTTGGGCATCTTACGGACAGCGTGGAGCTGCGGCTGTCAACGAGTTTGAGTTGCTTGTGTGATCTGGGTCCTGTATTTCAAGACATTTGGAGTGTCGGCACGGAGCGTGTCGCAAGGCTTTGATATCACTTGAAGTTAATTCCGTCTACATCTCACGATAGATTCAAGTCCACTTCACGCCTCGATTCCCTACCCTCCTCCAAGTCTACCTTTGCATTTCCACACCACGCGCCTCTCCCGTATCAGCTCCTCTCCAGCTTCCACAACGCTTCGACCGCCTATTCCCGCACACCGTTCAAACTCTCTCCAGGTACATGTCAGTCTTTCCGAAAAAAAGGTGCGCCCCAATCCGTCAGCCTCATTGTAAACCCTTTGTTGACCAAATAGTCACGCACATCCATATAATCCTGGGGAAACTCCTCCCCCTCCGGAAGGGTCCCCGTAAAATGCCAGTTCACAAAGTAATCATCCTCCTCAGCCTTCTCATACGCATACCCGCTGGTACGCACCAACTCAGCCAATTCATCATTAATGTTGGCAATGCCTTCTTTTTCATGTTCGGAGAACACAATCATGTCAAGATCATCGCGACCCATGGTTGTCCTGCCTGCATCCCTTTACGTTAGCACTTCCACAATAATCACTTCTCGAACCTGTCCAACAATGCCACTCCCGCAGCCACCACGGAGCACATCAACTGCCAAAGACCATAGCTCTTCGCAGCACGCCGCAACACCAATCTGACGACATGGACCAATCCCCACTGGGTATTGCACTCACCAACACGGGTTGTGTGACGAGGGCTTAGTAGGTCTTGGAATGTAAGGGTTCAAATTCAAAGATGATATCGAAGAGTGTTAAAGGTCCTTGGTTTTTTAAGAGGAAGAGAGGGAACAGTAACTATTATATATATATAAAGGGAACGGCCGTACTTATGGTTCTTACCCGGGCACGTGTTTAATCTATGTAATAAACAAGTCTTTTGTCTGTGAGGCCCTCTGTTGGGCCCTTTCCGTGTAACAGATTGACCCGATGAAACCAATGTCTTGTTATCTCTGACAGACCGCACTTCTTTCACAAGATTCTCCTGAATGTTCCTCAACGTGGGACACAACCAATGCACCACTTCCACTCCTGTTGGCTGCCTCCTCGGGCGGTCAGGCCTTCAGCAGCCCAACTTCAGCAGCCGGACTTCTCGTAGGCCCGTGTCCGCGACACAAAGACGTACCAACAACCACCGCGTACAAAAATGTTTCAGAAATAATAGTCGCCAAGGGGGGGGAATGAAGCCCTCTTTATACGTCCCTGTCTCATTTATCTGTCTAGACAGAAGTAGATAAGCTCCACCAGTCGCATCTAATAAACCATCGACTGACGTCACCCCATCTTTTGTTCCTCTCGATAAAGATCATTTCAGCGAAGCCTGCTTGATGAAAGAACTACCGGACTCGGTTTGTGCTCCTTGTGCTCTGTGCGTCCTTTGTGCCCTTTGACATAATTGCCGGGACGGGGCCGGCAAACAGACAGGCACCCGCGAACGCGCTGGTTGAGCTGCAACAAAGGTTTCACAGAAAACAGGATTCCCTTCTTCAGTTTCAGCTTCGCCCTGCCCTCGTCCCCGTCCTCAGCTTCGCCAGTCGCACCGGCAGTAGGCTTTCATCCTAGTACACGTCTTCCACCAACTTGCCCGTCATTTACGTCTCCATGGCGCCGGAAACACGGGCGAGCCGCCGGCGCGCCGATGCGTCGACGCTTCGTCCGTCCGTCGAGGCCGCCTCCCATCATGTGAGTACTGCATCTAGCGGCGACAACCTCAGTGAAAACCCCGAGCCCAAGAGCATCAGCCATAACGCCGACCGCAGCCCAATACTGGAAGCGGAAACAGAAGCAACCGGAGTACGCGTATACGTGAGTGGCATAGAGATGGCTATACCCCAAACCTACGATCCCGACACGTACCATCCCGATAGGCGAATGCCATGGACGCCCGAACCAGAGCCATACAGTCCCGAAGCCTATACGGCCTGGGGTCGCAAGCATTTTGGTGAAGAGTGGTATAGACTGCGGCAGACCATGATCGAGGAAAGGAACATTTTCCGCGAGTACGATCCGGTCTATCATCAACGACAAAGAACCCTTAGGATAATAGAGCATAAGATCGAACGCCGGCCGTTTGAACCTTCCAATCGTGTATGCGATCCGGACTGGAAACGACTTTGGGCTCGGCTTTCCAAGGAATGGGGCATTGAAATTGTCCGTTCCGCGACACCTGAAAAGAACAGTGACGATAGCGATACAGACCTCAGTGGTTACAGCACCTATGATGCTACCCCTGAATATCGCACTCCTAGTCCTTTCCCCGATGATCCATGGGAAATGCTCGAGTATAATCACAAACGTTTCTCTTGGAACGAGGAGGAGTACGAATTTGAAAAGCTGTTTCTCAAGGAGAACCTCATGGATAGTACTAGGTGCCAACATGAAAACGAGCCAGGTGACGAGCCTGCCCGTAAGAAACGGGAGTTCATGGAAAGCTTTCAAAACTCGGACCCTCTTCGCTACCGCATTGAACAGGACCGCTTTCGGGCTCACGACTACCAAGGCGGATGGACAACGGAGCAGATCGAGGCCTTGTATAATGCCACCGTTTCCATGCATGAATGGATCAAGGAGAACCCTGCACCAGATGAAATGCGTCCATACCGTTGTGGAAAATTCGAATCACCCACTCCAGAACAACAGGCTGCAATAGGCACCTGGTGGGATAAGAGTACAGCCGCAACCATTGAGTACTACGGCGCGTGTCCGCGCACAGGCTGGGGTCCTTTTGGCTTCTCAATATACGACTTTTTAGTCGGCTTCACAAGCATGGGCTACAAGGACAAGGAGGAGGAGGAAATCTGGCGCCAGAACACCCATGCTCGCTTGTGTAGCCGACAGCAAGAGGCTCTGGCAAGCACCAAAGGCGATGCTCCGGCTACAGAAAAGCCATTGAGCCAGCGGAGTCTATCGCCTCGACAAACGGACAAGGTTCGACATGAGACGCCTGGCGGTGGAATTAACAAGGGTACTCCAACACATGCGAAGGCCTCGGCATTAAACCGAAGGCGTCGTCCTCCTACACTTGACACAGTGGGTAAGCTCGGAAACAGCGCAAGGACGGCATCCCATCGTCCAAAGAGGCAGCTCAAGATATATAAGAAGGAGCGCTCAAGCCGAAGGCAGGCAGGCAAGGCACCTGAATACGGCATGCTAGGGGAAGGTGAAATACCATCTTTGCGAAAGACTTCCAACACACGTCCGACAAGTCGCTCAAGTCTCCGTGGTGGCAAAAAGTGGAAAGGGCAAGGAAAGCTGGGAGCGTAAAGTCCCAAGAGACTTTGGAGTCTCGTAAATCAAGGAAAGGCGGTTAAGTGTCTGGCCAAAGGATGGAAGGGCTGAGAATAATCACCACCATGGCGGCACGGCCGGCGATAGTGAGGATAGCAATTTGTGTTGCGAAGATTGAGGTTCTGATTGCGTACAAGTTCCTATCACGGCGGGACCTGGAGAATTTGTAATGCGTTTCTTGGTATGATACTGGGATGATCTGGAAAATCCATTACGGTTTATTGCTGCTATTATTACTACTATAATAAGGGCTTAATAGAGCTCCCAACCATGGCACTCATGACATATTTCTGCAAGTTTAAATCACAACCACATCACGACGTATCCTATTCCCGACATGGCGGATAGTTATAACAGCCAACCGCATTGCAGCACCTCCAGTGGTAAAACTTCAGAGGGGGCCGACGCCACTATCCACGAAACACAATACGGAAAGTCGGGCGAGGCAAGCAATATTAGCCTAGTGATTTCCTCTGGAGGGGTTGCACGAAGAGTGCGAGGCAACATTGAAAGGAAACAATGACAAAAATAAGGGGGGAAAGAAGTGACATCGTATCGATGTGTCAAGTGCTCCAAGGCCCACCAAAGACCTCCGTTAGTTAACTTACCAGTCCAGAACGCCGGGCAGAGAATATTTAAAAGGCAACGGCATTTAGTATATTCCTTCCCGTAAGAAAATTGTAATTTGACGTGTCCAGTTTGAATAAATTATGCCTCTTTAGATGGAACATCAAGAGTACCCTTGCCGATTCAGACAGGCAGCTTCCGTCCACCACCAGTGGTCCAGTTGACCATCTTATGTGACTGTTAATTGCGGCAAATTGCATACTCTGAGCCATTTAGAGTTCCGTATCGAAGAGAGACCGGAGCTCTGCCTGGTACCTTTCCTCGTCGTCTACTTTAGCCTTCACAACTTGTGCAACGTTCTCTTGCCAAAATGTCGAGACCTGCTTCAGGTCAACAACCAGTGCTCTATCAGCGGAGAATTTGGGAAGAATATGATCCTCAAAAACAAAAAGCCAAGCATTTATAGACCTTAGGCAGGCCCAGAACCACACTCCTTTAGATTCCCAAACATCTCTCATTATGCTCGTGATATTAATATCATGTTCCATCCGTACGATTTTATTTTCGTCATCCATGATTGCTAGGAATGCCTGCCGCACTTGGTCAAATTCGGCATACTCGTCGTCAATGATACCGTCGATGCTGCAGTTTGTAAGCCAGTATGGTACGGACAACATTTCCACTGGAAGCGCGCAGATCCATTCAAGATCAAGCAAACAAGTAATGTTCCAATCACGGTCCACAAAAATATTGCTTTGGTGAAAGTCGGTCAATTGTAGGAGGAAAGGACCGTCCCTCCGATCTGACAAGATGAAGGAGTGCATCATCGTTCGAAGCAATGTCCTAATCGTCATTCGTTCTCGGGCATCATCTGCATGTCGTACAGCATGAGGGTCGTGAAGGAGGTGATTATCATACAGCGTAAGCAAATCGGAGGCAAAACTGTCTGTAGTACGGTAGAGTTGGTGCTGCTGAATTGTTCGCGGTGTCCCGCTATTCTCGAAAATCATCATGGTGCATGTCAGGGGCCGGTTAGAAAGCTGAATTGTGCCGTCACTGGCATTGAATTTAAAAGAACCAATGCGTGGTTGTGGGAGCCGAGCAAGCGAGAGCATAATACGCGACATGCCCTGAAATAGGCGAGCTCGTCGACTTGCATCGCGCATGTGTTGAGTCCAGGCGCAAGGAAGCATCTCTCCGGTCTCGGGACCGATATATTCTAAAAGCATATAGGCGGTGTTAACGGCTGGTGCGGATGCGTTGCGGGTGTAATTCGAGAGCAAGGGGTAGTGAAAGAGGCGATTAATCCATCGCCAGAATCGGTGGTAGGCGCGGGCGTAAAGTGGTCGCTGCCCGACATGGGTAAACTGGTTGAAGCAAGGTTGTTAGCATCATTACCATTCAGATGACATGGGAATTGGGACAACGAACATGACCGCCATCGGCGAGGCCAAAGGCGTAAAGGTTTGGTATCCGAATATCCGTGCAGTGCTCCTGCATCCATACATATGTGGCCACTTCGCAGCCGACTTTTTCATCAATCGTGCCAGGATAACGTTGCTCAGCAAGCTTATGAGGCATGGGACACCGGAAAATCAACCTTCTGATGAGGCCTTTCGAATCCACCTCGACTACAACGCAAATATTGAAGCCGCCTTGCAGCCATGATTCCGGTGGTAGAACAATGCAGACGTCATCTCTGTGTAGTCGAAGATGGTGCCTGACTGTAGCTTGAATCAACTCCCGCTGATCCCACAGTCTACGTCTCAAGTGCTCCGCAGCACATTGATGTTGGATAGAAAGAAGGAAATTGGTTTCTTCTTCAGCAGCTGATTCGAATGAACGAGGTTTGTTGTGCAATAAGATGTTCCGAGGCATGGCAAATGCTGGATTGGTAGCAGCAAGAAAGGCGGGTCACAACCCATTGCTAAGCTTGATCGGAAAAGGAGAAGAGGTCGGGTCACGTGGCAAGGTTACCTTATTGCCTGCAAGTGGCCTGAACACCTGAGTAGGCTGGTAGCAAGTCTAATAAGTTGCTTAAATTATAATAGTAAATCTTATGAAATAGCTAATTTTCTAGCCAACTAGTATATACCGTGTGCACAAGACGAAACCAGGAGAACCAATAAAGAGGAGTAGCGGGAAAATAGCGTTTTTGCATGCCGTAAACCAAGCAAGCAACGGGCAAGTAACGAGACAAGTAAGAAGAGCTAATAAATTATTCATCGGTTAAAAGCTCTCCTATTTTAGGCTTTTTATAAAGTGGGCTTGGGCTGACAATTTTTAACCTTAATAACTAAAAGCAAAAAATATTATCTAGTTAATAAGATTAACGTTTAAGCCACTTATAAGAAGGTAATAAATAGGGGCGCTATACCTTAGAGGCGCTATTAATTAGCTATAAGAAAATACGTCGTGATAGACGCCACAAACCTTCGTTTAAGCTAACTGAAAAGCTTTAAATCCAAGAGCTGCCGCAGAACTTCTAGCAGCCTAAATCAACTTGGTTAAAGTTTCCTCGCTTAAACCTTGTCTCAGATTTACCTCTTGCGATCCAGGCAAGTAAAAACGCCAAGTTATGGTAAAAATGAATTGCTTAAAGGGTTACAAGAGTTTATCAATCAAAGAAAAAACTATTCAACTACCTTGGCCTCGGGCGGTTAAGCCAACCGTGATAGCTGGTAAAAGCGCCTCAGCAAAATCTGAACTTCAACCTTGCCAGGGAAACTCAAAAGACGCTGAACTTATAGAGATACAAAAAGATATTTGGCATACGGCTTATAACGAACTTGCAAATAATACACCCGATTTAGTAGAGAAGTTTGAGAGTGTCTTGAACAATAAACTTGGGTCAGGTTCAGATTCAAGTAATAACAAACTGTCTTCAAGTCACGGATGGACTCTAATACAGAGATTCGTCCAAATGGAGCTTGAAAAAACCAAGTCAAATAAGAATCTTGATAAGATTATGAGAGGGGCAGGTTTTATCCAAGAAATAAATTCCTTGATCGATAAACCTCTTCAAGCTGTCCCTGCGGCAGGTCCTCCTATTGCAGCCTTGGGTCTTGTTGCCGTGGTAAGTAGTTTGAATATGCCATCTTACCGATGCCTTAGTATCCCTAATAAAAAAAGCTTGTTTCTAGGTCAGTGTCTGAACGAAGTGCCAATCGCGAGGGGCTTCAACACGCATATCGCCATCTGTCATGGTACTGGGAACTATCGGGTCACTTACTACAGTCCAACAAATACGATAGTTCGACTCAGGAGTTGAGAAACTTGCTTAAAATCGAAATAACTCGTCTCTATGAGGAGCTTTTGAAGTATCTTATGGAGAGCGTTTTGATTCGTCGCAAGAACTGCTTGCTCCGTGCTGTGCGCGACACGATCAAGTTTGATGACTGGGAGAGTAAAATAGCGGCGATTAAAGAAATTGAAACCCAGATCAAGGATTCCATTACAAAGTATAGCGACATAGAAAAGGGGAAACTAAGAAAACTCGCCCTTCAAGAAAAATATCATGATCACATCAACGCGTTAGGGGATGCCGATGATATCGGCGATCCCGAATTCGACCTCGAACATGTTATGGAAGAAAAGGGAGGGCTCATGAGTAGCTGCTGCTCGTGGTTTTTTAAACTACCAAATTTTCAAAAGTTTATCAGCGATACTATGCCAGGCGTATTCTGGATAACAGGAGCCGCTGGAAAAGGCAAGACCATGTTAATGTGCGACATCATTCAAAACCTTCAAGTCCGTGTCCCAGAAGGGAAGATATGCTACTACTTCTGCCAGGCACGCAAGTTGGGCTCAGTGGAATACGATTCGGCAGCCTTACGAGGTCTCATCAAATCTATCGTCTTCCAGCAAATGGACCTAGTCAGCCATGTCCGAGAAAGGCTGGACAATAACCGTGACGTTTTCCGAGGTCGCAATGCCGCGTTTGCCGCTCGACAGGCACTCACTTCCATACTAGAGAGTAGGCAGATGAAGGGGACCATCATTTGTATTGATGCTCTCGACGAATGTGGCGGAGATCTTGGGCATCTACTCGAGTTAATAACCAGGAAGTCTGATGTCAAATGGGTCGTATCAAGTCGCAGTAAAACCGCAGCAGTGGATAAGAAGCTTACAGCACATTCCACTTGCTTCAAAATGTCGTTGGAAGATGCAGGAAACTCTGTTTCAACTGCTGTTTCACTGTATGTCGAGGAACAAACACGAGTTTTAGAAGAGAAATGGAGCACAACGTCTGAAACTCGTATAATGAAGAATATCAACAACACACTTATTGAGCGTGCCGAGGGGACATTCTTGTGGGTTTCTCTAGCCTGCAAGGAGCTCCAAAAGCTCTCGTCTGCTAGAAATGCGCTGAAAACACTGGATTCCCTGCCGAAGACGATCAACTCTCTCTACAAAAGAATGATGAATATCATTCGAGACGGCCCAGACTTTGAGGACTGCAAAGAAGTACTCAGCGCTTGCTTGGTTGCGCAGCGCGACATCACCGTTCGAGAGTTTTGTCTTCTTCTGAAATGTCCAGAAGACTTAGAAGAAGAAATTTCATATTGGGAGAAAATTGTTGAGGAATGCGGCTATTTTCTAAGAATATCCCCCGTCAACCATGCCATCAAATTTGTTCACAAATCTGCGAAAGACTACCTAATGGAGACTGAAGCATCCGAAATACCCCGAGTCGGTATTAATCATGACATTTTAAGAAACAGCATTAGAATGATGAGTGGAAAACTTCACCGTGACATGTGGCAGCTGCGACATCCCGGAGCAGCAAAGCCCGCCAAAGGGCCAGATGACGATCCTTTGGAACTCATTAGCTACCCTTGCACCTTTTGGGCGAGTCATTTAGACATTCCAAGTTCGCCCACCGCCGAGCAGGATACAGTCGCCGCCGTTCTCCTAGGGGAAGACATCTTGAATTTCCTCAAGGTCCATTTACTTCATTGGATGGAAGCTCTCACTCTATTGGGTGCCATGTTGGAAGGGGGCGTGGCACTTTTAAAACTGAGAGACTTTGCTGTAGGTCTAAATCCAGAGTCGTGAGAGAAATATTTTACCCAGACTAAGTTCTATAGGTAAATTATGAATTACCCGAGCTTCCGGAACTTCTTTGGGATGCTTACATGTTTTTCCTTTATTTCAGATATGCCGTTGAGGAGTGCCCCTTGCAACTCTATACCTCGGTTATGACTTTTACTCCGCGGCAAAGTTATATCAGGAAATATTTCGGTCACGAAAGCCCTCGCTGGGTCAAAACATCGTCCTTTGTGTTGGATCAATGGCCATCGTACTTTTTACTACCTGAAAGATCGGGAACACACGTAGGTATAGCGTATTCTCGAGACAGCCACCAATTCGTTTCGGCAACTAGCCATGATATTGAAATTCGAGATACAATTACTGGCGCTCTTTTGCAAAAGTTTCTAGTCCCACATGATGACGAGCCTGGATCAACAGATGTCATTGCAGCATTATCCAAGGACGGTATAAAGTTTGCTATCCACAGGCATGACCTTGGCCTCAAAGTCCTTGACATTCTTAATAAAACCTGGTTAGAGTTATCTGAGGGTCATTTTGGAGCGTATGAGCTAATATTCTCAAACGACTCAAGGATTTTATTATCGATATCTAACTCTTCAATAAGAACATGGAATACGAACACAGGCAGACTTATTATCTGTCGGACATGGGTCGGTAAACCTGCCAGGATTGTCTTTCTGGGGAACAGCACGAAGATTGCACTAGTCTTAAAGACCGGCAATATTGCAATTCTAGACGCCAAGACAGGGTGCTATCATTGTGAATTTTCTCAACGTAGGGAGGGGACCTTGACGAGTGTGCAGCAACTGGTTCCGTTCCCAATATGTTGGTCACTGTTGTTCTCAGTTGAGCTTGAGAGAATCTGTCTTTGTAACCTTGAAACTGGAGCCAAGGAAATCCTAGAAACGCCCTGGAACTATTCCAATGGAATGTTTCTTCACGCTATGGACATTGCCATATCTACGAGCGAAGAAATAGTCGCTATTCTGGCTGAAGACTCCCTGCACATATACAGGCGACATAAACAAAGGGGCTCTATGACACCAAAAATCGAGTATACGACAACACTTTCCGGAAGTTTTGCAATGTGCAGATCGGCGAGAATTGTGTTTTCCGAAGACAGCAGATTCCTGGCAGCTATACGAAGCGATACGCAGATAGAGGTTTGGGACATAAACTTGAGTAAAAGGACCTCCCTATTCAAGTTTGATGTTGCAGTCAAAAGTTTCACAGCACTAGTATTTAACCCCGACAGCACCTTCTTGGCCGCAAGTATTATTGAAGAGAGTGGGAAAACCCAAACCCGAATTTGGAAAGTTGATTCTACCAACAAGACGCTGCCGTGCGGCTGGGACCGTGGTAACACGGCCCTGGTTTCCTCTGTCCAATTTTCAAATGATGGCCAGTGGCTTGCTATAAGGTTTTCCAGCTTGCGTGCCGAGTTGTGGCGCAGTTCAGGAGAGCCTCAAGACTCTTTTCTGGATGGGGAGAATGACCAGGTGACAGACCTGGCATTTTCATGGGATAGCACCAAGCTTGGTTACGGTACAAATGATGGCAAGGTCAAAGTCTTGGACATGTCTTCCAATCGTACCAAACACCTATACGATACGATTTCTAGGGCAGAAAAGGCTAAAGCCCTGTCCTTTTCCAGAGACGATACGCTTCTTGCTGCGAGGATATCTGATTTAATCCGAATATACAATATGAAAACTGGCCTTTACCACGATCTAAAGATACCCGGGAGCGACTTTAGCAAATCTCCTACGTTTCCAGAGCCTAATTATTGCAATATATCTGTCTTCAAAAACTGGACTGTCGTAGCTGAGCAACAGGGTCGCATATATCTTTGGGACGCTAGCAAAGTTGTCAAAGTTTTTTCCCTCGACGATATCTTGACTCCCATGAGGGGATGGGGAGATGTCGTGTCAACCGATCTAAGAACCATTGGGGGCAGGGTGCGGATTGTATTAGGTTCCAATAAAGGAGGCATACATATCATCGATGTTGGTTCTGGAAATGTTTTACATTCGGTTGAGACGGGGCCGCTTAGCACCTTGGCCACGCATCAGGATGACAACACATTTGTCTCTACCAGCCAAGGCGATATCGACCTAGCTCAATTCTACCTTGATGAAACCGAGACATTTCATAGTCCCAACCCGAATGATATAATTTATCGTGGGTATGGTGTATCGGGTTCCTGGATTCTAAAGGATGGGAAACGAATCATTTGGCTTCCTCCGCAGTATCGTACAAGGTGGACTGGACTGGATTTTTGGGGGAAAGAATTTGCAGTTAGCAACTCCCAGATGGCTATTTTGTGTAATAAGGGACAGAGAGATGGGCCTGGGCCATTGTTACTACTTCACTTTTTCCAAGACACCATTGACTTTGGCTCGTGGGAGTAATTCCAGGAGGCAGAGTCCAATGCACGACGCACGTTGGCACGAGAGCCCATCTACCGCAATAGTGAGGAATCAAGATCACCATAGCACTACCAACCTTCCGGATGTCGTCGGCATATGAACGATGTTTTCAGAAAGTTCAACACTCTACAATGTACCATCAATCGTATTCGAGTGTCTGGGAGGCGTCCTCTAGGAGAGTATGGCGACATGGTGGTGTTGACTCGGTACACCAGCCAATTCCAAAGCCTCGGGTCTGCAAAGCGCGACGATTACGAAAACATGTGCAGTGATCGAGATCAAGGCGCGCGGGTTCAGTCGGCAAACGTCTTGGTCTTTGCTGTGCACGGCATACGGACATGCCTCGGATGCAGCCGGACTAGTCGTCGGTGGCTGTGTCTGGCAAAGGCCGGCGCCATTCGGAAAGTACCAGGCTGTTGTTTCTCGCGTATGCATGGACAACTTCCGCGGGCTGGCGCATACCCTGACCACGTTTCATTCCCACGATGCCGTCCCAGAGACAGCGCATAGTTGCGGCGAGAGGATGGCACGGCAGTATGCAACTCGACGAGAAAGGACGCTCGCTTGGTATGGCATTGAACAAGCTTTCCGGGCGCTATAGATGCAGAAGACCGTTGGGGTATGAGCGACGATCGGTTAGAGACTGATTGCAACACGTCACATATATTCGACCACCACACATTACGTGGCAGCGTCGGAACTGCTAACAACGAAAGTACCTTCTGCTTATGTGGAAGAAAGATGGCTACATTGCTGCACATCTTTCTTTTGTGAACGCAATCTAAATAGAGATCGGCGGTAGTCACCCATTGCGCGTTGCTCCGAACGACAAGAGGTTCCGTACCGAGCTACATCGATATAAAGGCACCAGGGGCCCCAGCAAATGTCCACAAGATATAGAAAAAAGCGAAACAAAGCTCCATATATCAGACTGCAGGTTTAGTGACCTCGATTCAACTTACAAATGCAGTCGCATATCCTGTCTAGTCAGACCCTTCGTACACCGCCCCATCTAATATAGGCTGCCCATAATCTCCTCCGCGACAATATGCCTCTGGTCTCTGCATTTCTATCCGAAGTTAAGACTCAAATATCGACGTTTATCCCCTTCGGACCAGCCCTATGCTACATATTGTTGAGCTCCGTCATCCTACTACCTCTAACCTTGGTTCTCGCATCTCCAACGCGCACATCCCCCCTCAACCATTTCCCAGGTCCTCCAGGCTGGCCCCTCGTCGGTAATTTTTTGTCAATATATTGCCAACGCACCGAAAAGGTCTACCTCCAGTGGGCGGCACAGTATGGCGACGTATTCAGAATCCATCTCGGCTACACGCCAGCACTGGTAATCAACTCAGCCGAGGCCGCGAAGCAGATTCTACACCGCAACTCCCAAGCCGTGGCATCACGGCCGTCATTTTACACGTTCCACACTGTCCGTCACCCAAGCTACACGCCACGTTTTATGCATAGACAGCTAATCCATTAGATTGTATCGAAAAATCTCGGGACAACCATCGGCGCCTCGAAATTCAACACCAGTCTCAAGCGTACTCGCAAAGAGATAGCTTCCGAGGGAAGCAAGCCAGCCGTCAGAACGCACCTGGCGGACATCGACCTCGAGACGCGCCACCTACTGCGGGACCTGATGAATCGCTGCGACGACGGCCAAACACCAGTGGACATGTACATGCCCGTCTCGCGGCTGGGCCTCAGTCTCATGATGACGATATGCTACGGTCGGCGAATGTTCCTCGAGGACCCTCTCACGACGGAAATCATAACTGTGGAAGACCAGCTCCTGGGCCTGCGGAGCCCTTCGGGAAATTACCTCGACTATTTGCCTCTGCTGCGCCTGTTTCCATTTACACCGTTGGCGCGAAAGGCCGCGCGGTTGAGAGACCGCCGAGACGCGTACGTGCTTGGATTCAAGGACGAGGTGGAGGGTAAAATCGAAAACGGCACGTATAGCCCTTGTCTGTATACGAAGAATTATTTTAGCAAAAACCCGCTTAGTTCGAGTCAAGTGTCGATGATTCTGGTTACTTTGGTGTCGTCGGGCCTTGCGACGGCCACGAATACAGTACGATGGTGTATGATTCTGCTTGCGGCTCGGCCAGAGCTACAGGAGAGGGCTTATAGTGCCATTCGCCGGGTTTATCCAACGGACAGCGAGGCGTTTGATGCTGTAATGAAGGATGAAGAAGAAGTTGTCTACATCTCTGCGCTTGTCAAGGAGACACTGCGGTATGGAAATCGTAGGTTCCGCAGAATGAGCACCACGACTAACACTACTGTTGCAGTCTGTATTCTCCTGCCCGCGTCTCCCTCCCCCGTGCTAGCATCCAGGAATTTACGTATAAAGGAAAACTCGTGCCACCCCACGTCATGATTATTCACAACGCGTGGGGTTGTAATATGGGTATGCTCCCGCCTTGAACTTGCAAGTATGGAAGAGCTGATGCGTGCAGATCCCCTGGTTTATCGTGATCCGGAAGTCTTTCTCCCGGAGCGGTGGCTTGAGAATCCCGACCTGCCGATTTTCAGCTTCGGGCTAGGGTATCGAATGTGTCCGGCGATATTGTTTGCGCTTCGCGAAGTGTATACTGTGCTGACGCGAATCATATGCACATTTTCGGTTTGCGCAGTAGAACATCTTGACACTAACCCGATATCGGGATGTGGTCTTGCGCCCAATCTTGTGACGGGCCCGGCTAACGCGAGGTTGTATCTTAAACCAAGAGATGGAGCAAGCATCCAAGGCATCCTAAATTTGGGTTAATGCTCTTGGAAACTCTCGTCAGTCAGTTTATTCGCCTGTGTTATCGCAGCCGCCATGTTGGGTATCCTGAGCTGCATTGGTACGGTGGACCAAAGTTTCCGTCATTATACTACGCCATTTGCCAAATATGCGCAGCGGTTGTACGTCAGGGTAATGCAATTAATTATTGTGTTTGTGTCGAATTCTCAACATGATGTTTTTTCCAGATTGTCAACGGAATACAAGGTGGTGTCGTTCCTTTGCAATTCGAGCATGTTGTTTGATGACAAAATCGAGTCGATCATTCAAGGCAACAATACGTTTCAAGTGCTGCTGGAAGACAGCAATAATATAATAGTAATTTACATGTGTAGTTTTTATATTCTGCGAGGCGCCGTTTCCCCCACCAAGTTAGGCGGCATCCATTCTTCCGCACTAGACTTTCGCACTTATTACCAAATCAACCAACGACGACGACATGAGCGAGGACAGTGGACATTATGTGCAATTGGTGGGCTTTTAGGCTGACCGGAAGGTTCAACAAGTGCAGTGAGAGCTGATTCGCGACGATATTGCCTAGGTGAGAACCACGCCCGGAAGGTGATGCGTTAAATGCGGCCCAGCATCGTTATACGTGGTGATTAGAAAGACTTGCTTGTCAGACTGCTTTCAGACATGCTACGACTAGATCTGGTTGAATAAGCGAGCAGGCCAAAGAGCAGAAATAATATCAACTTGGACATACTGGACCGTTTCAAGTATTCAAGGCGTTAGCCTTGCGCTCTAGACATGGAGTCAGAATCCCGTTAGTGGTGGGCTACTAAGAGACCTTGGCACCGAGTAAAAGTCCGGTACGGTGCAGGCAAGGTGTAAGGGGATAGTATAATCGATTGATGCTATAATTTGATATGGTAGAGGTATAATGCAGGCTGGGTGCTAGTAAGGTGCCGGCACAGTGGAATTTAAGTGTTAAAAGCTATTATATATATTAAAAGAATACTAAATATTGTATATTATTTAGTTAACTGTACGTCTCTGTATGTCCCTAAAAGACATAAACTTTAAAAGACACTTGCGTTTAGGCAAAATTGTAACCGGGCTTACTTGATCGATAATCGATTTCATCAACTAAAGAGCTTAATCGATATAGATCAATCAACTAGAACTGCGAAATTGATCGGTACCACGAATGTCAAAGCTCGGGATCAACACTCCCTCCACTAAAAAATCGGTCCCCTTTTCTCACAGTAGTCTATTCACCGCATCCAATACGATCACGTTTTCAAATCCTCCTCTTGACGCCAATTACCAAAGCAGACGGCCTCCTCACAAAGCCGTCTGTAAATTCCAACTCGGCAGCTGGCTCCAGCTCAAAGTCAAAATTCCTAAACAAGGCCGCCGCCATGCAACGGAGCTCCATTTCGGCCAGGTTGCGACCAATGCACGCCCGCGGCCCGATACTAAACGGCATAAAAGCACTCCTTTGCCTAGCCGTGAGACGCGTGCCGGGATCCCAGCGGCCAGGGTCAAAGGAGTCGGCGCCGGATCCCCATATTTCCTCGGAGTGGTGGAGGGTATACATGGGAACCGAAACAACCTGGCCCGCGCAAAACACCTGGCCGCAGATGTCGACCGGTGGGCTGCCGACAGGAATCTGCCGCGGCAGGCCGAGGGAAAAGGCGCTGTGGAAGCGTAGCGTCTCCCAGATGACCCAATCGAGGCTTAATAGTGCACCGCCGCGACGGCATCATGTCAGTCGGGGATCGGTTCGCGGCAGTTGCCGAGAAAGGAGGGAGCAGACGTACTATGGAATATGCTTGGCCATCTCGTACGTCGGAATGTCGACTCCGGCGGGCACCACTTCGTTTACGGCCTCGTGCAGCTTTTCCATGACGCCTGGTGTGGACGCCACGCAGTGCACCATGCAGGCGAGCGTGATGGCGGTGGTGTTGCTGCCGGCAACAAGAAACGCCAGAGACTCGGTCGTCAGCTCATCGCGCCCCAGGAGCTCGCCGCTGTCGTCCCTGCTCTGCATCATCTTGGCAAGTATGTCCATGCGCGTGTTCTCGGCCAGAGCTTCGGGGTCGAGGCGGCGTCTCACGCGCTCGACAGCAATGCCCGTCATGTGCTCGACGGCCTTGGAGCCGAGCCGGAAGAAGGGGTCGGGGAGAAACTTGCTGAAGGGCTTGAGCTGGGGAAGGCAGCCCAACGCTGCCGATACGTCCCCTTGGCGATTCAGCACATCAATGGCCGCCACGCATGTCGGGGGGGCGTCGTACGTCTTGCGCTCGTCTACCAAGTCTTGTCCCAGGGAGAGCATCCCAAATGGCGCGCCAAAGGCGAGATCGCCGGTGACGTCAAAGGCCAGATAGCTGAACCAGGGCAGGGCATTAAAGGTATAGTAGCCGTCTTTGGCGGAACCAGAGTTGTTTTGACACATGTAGGTCCATTGGCTGACCAGACGTGCGATATGCGTACGGATGTATGGCTCGAACTGGCAGATGGACCTAGCAGAGAAGACGTGGGCGATGGCCCGTCGCTTCCTCGCATGGTCTCGTCTGCTACGAGTGTTGAAGATGCTGCGATGTCCTGGCCCTGCAAAGGCGTCGTAGAAGTCTCTACGGGGCCAGTCAGTACCGTGCCGTTGATGATTGTGAGAGGCGGCAACCTACGATTTTAGGAAACCATTGCCATGCCCGTAGACGGCCTGGATGGCGTCGGCGTCTGCAATGGAAAAATGGTTTGGCTGGATGCTCACAATCTTGCCGTACGTTCTGTGGGCTTCATCAACGGCTAGATAACGCCGTCGACGGCGACACTGGTAAAAAAGCCATAGGCTGCTCCAGGCAGCGGGGAAGGGACCTGAGATGCCAAGTCGTTTGCAGGATGCCAGGTGTTGGAGGATGCACGAGGCTACGACTATAGCCAGTGTAATGCACACAAGGGTGATGGAGAGGAGAGCCATGGTGGAAAGGACCGATGGAGGCAAGTTGACAGCGAGACGGCCAGGCAGAGGATTTCTTTATTTCCACCTAGTACTCCGTGACTACATATATCTGTGTCGCAACGGGTCACACATGACGAGTACGCATTACGTACTAATAACCTAGATAAGGGCCAGCCCTGATTCGCGCACGGCTAACCGTGCTAATAACGCACTTATAAAAAGGGCGTATACAATTATTTCCTTTGTAGAAAAACATGGACTTGTCAATAATACTTGACACCAGACATCACATGCTTATAGGTGCCTAACTGTGTGACAGTCTGGTACTCCTGTCACGCCCCACTTTATTGGCACTCGCTCAACCCGCACCATCTGAAGATGAAGTGGGGCATGGCACGGCTGCTTGCAGTAGTAGACCCACTACATCTCATCGGTTGCATGTGTGTTAAGGCGTGCTGCAAGTAAGTCGCCTGGACTTGACCCTTATCAACTGTTGGCAGGAGCCTAAATTGAGCTAAACTTAAACCCCGTGTGATATCAATTGATGTCTGGTGTCATGTCAAGTAGCTTTGTATAACTTGAATACTAGCTAGTCATTTTATTATAAAATAGTTTAGGTATTGAATCAAGTACTTTTTAGAATCTATCTGGCTTCTCATTAAATAATAATCCCTACCGAGTACCGGTACAAGCTTGCAGCCTCGAGACAACCAACGGGTTGGGTGTGTACCGGCCAGGAATTTCGAACCCATGTAGCTGTTGGGCAGCATTTTGCTGTGCGACTACCCGGCTTGGGCGCTGAAACAAAAAAGCAAGTCCGCGGAACGTAGAAAGCTTTCCGGGCCCGTGGCCTTTATTCTCTACATGTATAGATGTAAACGAACCAGATGTGCAGTGTCACACGCCACGCACCATAATCACATCCATTCCATACTGCGCGACAGCGGACTCGGGCACAAGGGCAACCAATATAAGAGGCACCCTTTTCGGAAGCAACAAAGAGCCATGTATGCTCCCCGACTAAAGAGACGGATTACACAGCATCATGTATTCCAACTCGATCCCCATGGCCCCCGGCGGCTCCCTAGACGCAGTGGTCGGCGTGCTCGCAAAGCATCGAGATGACGACTACTATGCATACGAGAATAGGGATGGCTGGTATCTCGGCCTCGGCAGCCACGCCTCGTTGACGGTTGGCCCAGACGGCAAAACAGCAACCAAGATCTGCGCGGACCGGAAGACAGCGGCCCTCCCCGTCGCCGGGTCCATCAACGACATTGCCAGGGCCTTTGTCGCAGAGTACTCTGCTCTCGGCAGGATCTATGGCCAGGTCGGCTTCAACTACGCAGCCATCATGTCCGGCCAGGCATACAACCCCGGCCAGTGGCCAGTGCTGGCCCTCATGGCTCCCCGCGTCCATGTTTCCGTATGTCGAGACGGCATCACCGTCTCGGGCCATTGCGACGACGAGGCAAGGTCGGTCTACGACTTGGTCAAGTCCAGTGTCGTTGGGGGTGCCGCTTCGGCCGTATCCACCAACTTCATGTCGGTCGATGTGCAGGTCGACTGCGACGACTATGCCTCCCGAGTCGGGCGGGCCACGGCGGAAATCATACAAGGCAAATACATCAAGGCCATTCCCTCTCGGATAGTCAACCTTGCCGAGCGGGTCGACATGCTGGCGACGCTCTACCACGGCCGTCGTGCCAACACGCCCGCGCGATCGTTTACCCTGAGCCATGCCGGGATGCAAGCTACCGGCTTCAGCCCAGAGGTGCTGCTCTCCATCAAGGAACAAGTCGTCGCTACTGAGGCGGTGGCCGGGACCCGGCTCGTCGAGGGGGCGGATCCGGAGCCGGCTCGTGATGCGCTGATGAACGACCCAAAGGAGGTCATGGAGCACGCCATCGCCATCAAGGGCTCCATCAGGCGATTACGTCGTATCTGCACTCCCGAGAGCCTCGCCGTCAAAGACTTCATGTCGGTCGTGCCTCGGGGTAATGTGCAGCACCTCTACTCGTGCGTCACGGGCACCCTCGAGTCCGGCAAAGATGGCTGGGATGCTCTCCCGGGTTTGGTCGCAAATATTACGGTGCCGGGTATCCCTGGACGGGGCAACATGGAGGCCATCGAGACCTTTGAACCGCATCCCAGGGACATGTACTGCGGTGCGGTGCTAATGCTCGAGCCTGCGGCAGGATTGTTCGAGGCGACCCTTGTGCTTCGCACCGTCTTCCAAGATCAGCAGCGGCAATGGCTGCAGGCTGGTGCTGGCGTCACCAGTCTCTCCAGGCCGGAACGAGAGTTCACCGAAACCTGTGAGAAGTTGGGTAGTATTTTTCCCTATTTGGTGGCGGAAACAAAGCCGTGGGGGGAGTTGAAAGGTTCACATCTAGTTAATTAAATAAGCAGGCTATAAGATTAGCTTGAATATACTAAACCATTTCACTATGGGGCCGGAATCACCGTTGACATCAATTGATAGCTCTCACCCCACTCTAACGGCTCTAACGGCCGCATGCACTTACGATGGCGACCGGACGATTGACTCTTGTTTCTCTCAACGACTAGCGTATCTAGGCACTACTAACGCATTAATTCGACAGGTTTCGCTGCCTTTGGGGGCCCCCTTGCTCGCCATTCTGCTATATCTGTGTACCAGCCAAGTCAAGGCGGTTGTTGTATTGACACATGCAGTTGTCACTCTGGTCTCTTATCAGGCGGCCGGTTTGTGTTTATGCGTGGCACAGGCCCGAGCACCTTCAATGTTGTATCTGAAATGGCGATCTGGTTTTAGTCATTTTTCGCATTACCGGCATCATGACAAGACGGTATCCGCCGGGGAATTACTACAGTGCGGCTGAAGCCGTGCTTATCCGTTCGGATGTTGAACATGACTGCGTCGGATGACGCACCTCTTCGCAGCACACTTTAACCAAGTCGATGCAAACAATTCAATTTCATCCGACTCTTTGAGACATTCAACAAATATAGACCAGTTTATCTCACTCCTCAAGGCATAGGAAACATTCCGATGCCAATCTTTGCAATTATTGGCTTCCCTCTCAACTCTCCATACTCGTCATGTATCGCGACATTTCCAAACCACCGCCTCCGCTACCGTCGCCGGATTTGACCGAGTTGGACGAGGGCATTCACCTTCTTAAGCCCTTGTCCCGGCGTGGTGAGGGACCTGGCGTTATTCTAGTCACCCCAGACTACGTCGGCCAATTGACAATTACCGATGGTGTCCCGTCGCCTATTTTGAAATGGGCAGAGGAGGGATATGTCGTCGCCGAGGTGCAGGAATCAGCGTTGCGGCGTCGAGGCAGCCAAGTCATCACCATGGCCCTCGGCGCGATTGCCACATGCGACAAGTGCGATTCAGGCTCAGTTGGACTCGTGGGTAAGACGACCCTACCCCCATTGTTCTTTTCTTTCCGTCAGCTCCTAACATACTGTAGTATATCAGCCAGAGGCATGGAAAGTCGTGGCCCCTACACTCGCTCAATTCGAGCAAATCGTCGGCGCAGTCGTATACAGCCGCGCCGGCGATCATGATGACCTAGAGTCGGCATCTATTCCGGTTCTGCAACACCTCGCGGGCCCCGGTGACAATTCTAGGTCGCCTTCTTTGACTGTGTATTCCTATCCCACCGCCAAACCAGGGTTTGCCGTGCCCTCCCATCCCAACTTCCACTACAACGCCGAGTCACTCTCACACACGCGAAATCTCACGTTTCTCAAGCCCCTCATGAACGGGCCATACTTTGACCTTGAAAAAATCTGGGACGAGCACACGTATTATGAGTTTGCGGACCGGTCGGTGGAACATACGATGAGTACCATGGTTGCCGAGCCATATGTGAACCACGTTCCTACCGTGAGTGAATCCTGAATTCCAACTAGTCTGCAAGACGAATCCGCCGCGTGCTCACGCATTCGTACATAGTTGACAGGCGGCATTGGACGCGAGCGCCTGACCGAGTTTTACCGCAACAACTTCATCTTTTGCAATTCCGCCAACACACATCTGGAGCTTACAAGTCGCACGGTAGGACTAGACCGCGTCATTGACGAGTTTATATTCAAAACCACGCACGACCAACAAGTCGATTGGCTGTAAGTAATGCCTCCCCCCGCTGCGGGTGTCAAGTGTTCTGACCGCGTACATACTTTAGGCTGCCGGGCGTTCCGCCAACCGGGCGCGAGCTCGAGATCCCCTTTACTGCCGTTGTGAATATCCGCGGCGACAGGCTCTACCACGAGCATGTTTCTTGGGACCAGGGCACGGCGCTGAGGCAACTCGGTTTGATGCCGGAGTATTTGCCGTTTCCGTATGCGCTGCCGGATGGGAGGGGGCCGGCTGCCGGCAAGAGGTTTGAGTACAAGGTGCCTGTGCTTGGGGTGGAAACGGCGAATAAGATGCGGGATAAGAATTCTGTAGAGTCGAATGGATTGTTTGGAGGCGAGGTGCGGGAGGTTTCGAATTAGCGTGGGATTATTCACATTTCTACGTGTATATCATCTTTCCAGGCTGTAATGGGAGTGCTCAGTGCATTATCTAGATGTAGCGCCTTGAACGTGTATATGATCCTATGCCGAGTTTGTACTGGCTGTCTGGCCACCATGCCCACCACTGTGCCGGCAGAATGGTCAAGTGTATTAGCCGCCTGGCAGCACTTTATCTATTCCAAATACTTCGTGCCCTGCATTACCCCGCAAGCCACTTGCCCTCTTTCCAAGCTGTCGCCGTCGACGCCAGTAAGTCGATCATGTCCCTATCAGTCGACCCTATCGGGCTCCCCCGAACTCCTCCTATCGACGGTCGACCGCTTTCGGCTAGAGCCTCAGTATCTCCTCTGGCCACGATGATCCGTCGGATATGGCCACACGGACCCCCGTCGGGCGAGACACCGTCTCGACCATGTAACCGCCGCGACGGGCCGTACCCGACAATCCATAACGGAGGTGAGCAGGTACAAAAAGTGCCGGCTCACCAGGCCAAAGCACCATGGATACGGATATGAGCAATACGTGTCGGCCAACTTGTCAAGTATTTCATAGCTACTCGTCGATACAAATCTACGTCATGTCCGCACGGCAAGACTACGACGTCATTGTGATAGGAGCAGGTACGTCTAAAGCAGCATCACAGACACAATCCGCTAACTCGCAACAGGGTGGTACGGTCTCGCCGCGGCAAGGACATATATCGAGCTGCACCCCCATGAAAAGATTGCCATCCTCGAAGCAGATTCCACCTGCGGAGGAACATGGTCCAGAGACAGGCTCTACCCGGGCCTCAAGTCCAACAACCTCTACGGCTCCTACGAGTACCCGGATTTCCCAATGACGCAGGACGTATATGGCGTCAAGCCGGGACAGCATATTCCCGCCGCCGTTCTGCACCAATACCTCACCGACTTTGCTACCAAGTTCGGCGTGCTCGAGAGGACACGCTTCAACACCCGCGTCGATGCCCTCGAAGCCACGGCCCAAAACTCCTGGATCGTCTACACGTCGCCGTCCAAGGCCGCCGCCGACCCGGGTCCACCAGAAATCCTACATGCGAAAAGAGTCATTATCGCATCGGGACTCACTTCGCAGCCTAATATTCCGCAGTACCCGGGCCAAGAGACCCTCGAGTCGAGCTTTTTCCACGCCAAAGACTTTTGCGAGCAACGCGACACGGTCAAGACGGCCAGGAGGGCCGTCGTCATTGGCGGCGGTAAATCCGCCCTGGACTGCGCATACGCCTTCGCCACGGACGGCGGCAACGCACAAGTCGACCTGGTGATTCGCCCGTCGGGCCAAGGCCCCGTGTGGCTCTGCCCAGCACACGTCACGCCCTTCAGGAGGGCGACGGAGGAGCTCCTCAACACGCGGCTCCTGACGTGGTTCAGCCCGTGTCCCTGGGGCGGCGAGGACGGCTACTCCCTCGCACGGCGGTTCTTGCACGGCACAACCGTGGGCCGGTTCCTCGCCCGGTCCTTTTGGCGGCTCTTGAGCGCCGATGTCATCCGGGCGAATGGGTATAATGGCCATCCGGAGCTGGTGAAGCTCAAGCCGTGGGAGAGCGTGTTCTGGACGGGAAGCGGCGTCGGCATACACAACTACCCTAGCAATTTCTTCCATCTGGTCAAGCAGGGCAAGATCAGAGTCCACGTTGCGAGTGTTTCCAAGGTGGGAGGGAAGAACGTGTACCTCTCTGACGGAGGTGTCTTGTCAGACGTGGACGTGGTCGTGTGCGCTACGGGCTGGGACAAGAAATCCGCCATCAAGTTTGTCAATTTTCATCCTCAGGCGTCGCTTGCCCATATGCCCGAGGAGAAGAAGGACGCGCTGGTCAGTCAGGCGGACGACTGTATTCTGTCCTCGTTCCCTCTTTTAAAAGAGCAGCCTGTCCTGCGCGGCGCGCCGAAAAGCGTTGAGCCGTTGCGAAACTACCGCTTCATCGTGCCGCTGGACCACGTGTCGAGCTGTAACATCGCGTATGCGGGCATGGTGTCGACCGTTAGCACAACCATGTTTGCTAGCGTGCAGGCGCTTTGGATTTCGGCCTTTTTCGACGGCAAGCTGCGTCGCGGGCCGGGGAGCCAGGCGGATGTGATGCAGGAGGTGTTGCTGCACACGGAGTTTGGCAAGTGGCGGTATCCGTGTGGCTACGGGGCCGAGCTGCCGGATTTTGCGTTTGATTCGGTGCCCTATGTTGATTTGTTGCTGAACGATTTGGGGTTGAATGTTCATCGGAAGGAGTCGCGGCTGATGGAGCTGGTTGCGCCGTATAAGCCGCGCGATTATAGGGGTTTGATGGAGGAATGGCAAGAGGCGCAGCACTGGGGGAAAGTTTAACCTCGAGTGGTGCGCGAATTATACAACCAGAATCAATGATACGTCGTGATTTTTAGTTGCAGCATGTATAATATCGCTCTTGCACCTTGTCTTTGGGAACTGTGGAAATACCTTGCTACTACCCCTGGCCTGGCAAACTCGTATCTACCACAGCCAGGCGATAAATTGAGGAGCTGACCTCGGCATATGTGTACTAATGTCAATGTAATGGTCAAATCTTTCCGTCTCGACTTGTCTATCGTCTCTTCTTCAAGTTCCACGTGGTACTTGGTCATATTAAGCTACAAAACGAAGCTACATCTCCCAAGTCTCCGGTCAAAGTCGGCCCAACAGCTACTTCTCATAGCTAATCAACCCGTCAATAGTACCCGCATGCAGTCCCCCCGTAATCTGAATATCCGCCGCCGTCGTATGCCTCGCCGCATCACTCAAGAGATACACCACCGCCCCCGTCAAATCATTCTGCGTGCTGAGCCTCTGGTTCGGAGGCGCCAGCCACATCTGCTCGCCCTCCCTCGCGCTGCGCTTGCCCTCCCTCACCGTCCGCGTCATGTCCGAGTCGACGAACCCCGGGCTGATGGTGTTGACCCTGATGCCGTGGGGGGCGAGCTCCACGGCCAGCGCCTTGGAAAGCATCAGAATGGCGCCCTTGGACGCATTGTACGCGGCCATGCGGTAGCCCGGCAGGGCAATGTGCGCCGACTGCGAAGCAATCAGGACCATGGCGCCCTTTGTGCCTTGCTTGATGATTTGCCGGGCGGTCAGTTGGGCGACGAAGAAGCTGCCTCTCACCTAGGTCCATCAGAGTCAGTAGAGTACTTGAGAAGAGTCGTAGTACGTACATTAATGTCTTGGATTCTGGTAAACTCGTTCCAGGTTTGGTCTAGGAACGGTTTATCAATGGCAATTCCTGCGGCGGGCACGCATCCGTCAATCGTTCCCAAACTGTCGAGGGCCTTGTTGAATGCTGTTTTGATGCTGTCCTCGTTGGTGACGTCCATTTGGATATATGTCGTCTTGACGCCGAATCGTTGGCTTAGCGTCGAGAACTCGGCGACTGGTTCTGGCTGAATGTCGAAGACGGCCACGTTGCCGCCCATTTCGCAAATGGCGCGGGTGCAGGCGAAGCCGATGCCTTGGGCGCCTCCGGTGACAATGTAGCTGCGGTTACGGAGCTCAAACATGGGACGGACATTTTGGAGTTGATCTGGAGATGCCATTTTGTGTGTTTAATTTTGTCTTGCCTAGGTTGATCATGTTGGGTTATTGTTTAGGACAAGTGCGACTTGACGCAATAATATGGCCAGGCGGACCCGAACCGCAGTCTTTGGTCATGTCGACGAATGTCTCGCCACGGGTGGTAGGGGCGTCGGACGCATTGATGTGTCTTGTCCGACAAACGAAGCCGCCTGTCGGGTAGTGCACTTTTCGGTAATGAGTCGGAATCGAAGTTTATCGGAACATGCACCAACCAGACTCGCTTGGCGTCAACAGATAAACGCCCCGCAAGCTAACGAGAGCCGATGCTGTTCCTTGACCGTCTCAGATAAGGTTACCATGTATTTACGGTTGTAAGGGGTAACCCAAGATAAAACGTTGGGTAGGAAATGGGGAAAACTTAATTTCTAAGCATCTTGTCATAAATAATCAAGTAGCGTGAGGCCTTGAATGTATTTCTTTGTCTGGTTTGAAATAAACGACACTTGTGTGTTGTAACTTGTATCGTTACGCACCCGCCATTGGTCAAGTTGGGAAGCACGACACACCTGGCGCAGGGCAAGTCTAGTTGAGCGTTCTTACCAGTTAAAAGTCCACCGAGTACCAGCGCATCGAGATTTCACGCCAAGGGTGAACAGCAGCTCCAGGATGAAGCGTCCATCAAGCAAGCAGACAACTCATCCGGTCAATGTCAGGACAGACACTAGGGTAGGCGGCTTGGATAGACTGCTCTGCATCATTCACCAGTTCACAAAACCTGGATTGTAGTTTGGATGCTTGATGCAAGTTGGCGCCATTGTAAACATCAGGGAATGAGTACCATGACCTCGTTTGGATTGCTTCCCATTCTTGTCGCCACGGCAGCGGAAGGTCTTCCACAAATCCAATCATCTGTGCGATTAGCTCAGCTTCATCGCCCAAATGAAAGAATGGTCGAGCTGCGAATACGAGTGTGTATATCTGCAGAGCAGTCAGTATTGCTGGCCAGAGTGTTTGATAACCGAGCTTACTATGCAACCGGCTCGCCAGAGGTCGACTCCATGGTCGAAACGGCCGGTAAAGATGATCTCTGGTGCATTCAAATCTCCAGGCTGGGCAAGATGAGCGGGCTCTTTGCCACATCTAAATGTTTGTCCCTAGTCAATTAAGTAAATATTCTTTTTAATTTTTATAATATTTAATACTAAATTTAATATTTATATAAGTAATATTATAAAAGTTTTATATTATTTTATAAGTTTTTTTTAATATAAAGTAATTATAAATATTTATAGTTAGCTTAGGCTCTTTATAAATAAACTAGGTAATTTGCAAATTAGATATATTCGTGACTAGCCTAGAACAGATATATTGTGCCAAAATACGTTTTCTTAGTTATAACATTCCTGTTACACGATTAGCCACCAAGAAATGGACATCACCGACTTAGGACCTCGAGGTTACACAGATTAAACAAATGACCCGGTGGAAACCCTAGGCATAGACGTTCCATTCATGTATATATATCGGTTACTCGTCCCGGCTTTTCTCTTGGGAAACCAAGGACCTCTAACATGCTACGATATTGTCTTTGAATTGAGTCATTTCTGCTCCGAGCCCTTATATAAAGCCCTTGTCACAGAATCTCACTGTCAAGTTGCGGTCGATCATGGGATTCGGATCTGACAGCCCCTTCATGGGAGGCACAATGCCAGTATAACAAGGGCTTTGAATAAGGGCTTGTGAATAGCTTTCAATTGAATCTAATAGTTGTTTTTAGGTCTAAAAGATTCTTGGGGAAGTTAATCCAGTAGTCCAGGACCCCGACCTTGGCCCGTATATATACATAATAATCCAAGTGTGTGTAGCCTAACCTAGACGACTGAGGCATCTAGGTCATTGCTGACTTGGGCTTTTATTCTAGAAACTCTGACCTGACCTTGTGACCCCTTTATGGTCCGTCATGAGGCATTATGCTGCCAGTTGGTATTTTTTTTGGAGGTTGCTGTGAACTTGTTATCTGTGCGACGGTTGACTTAAACTGTCAATTGGCATCACAAGACTGTCTATAAGGAAAGGCTCGTGGCAAAGACAAGGATGGTAAAATCATGCTCTATATTGATAACCTTGTAAAAACTAAGAAAAAGGCCTGAGGAAGAAGAAAGTGCGGCTGTTTGCCTTCACGTGATCACGTGAGACCGTCAACAGTCCAGACAAGTCGTCTATTTAATCCTACTTCCACGGGCAAAAAGAGCTGCATCCACACACAGGCGTGAAAGACAAGGGCGTTGATCCGACTGTCCGTAGGAACATCGTCCGACCAGGAATAGGTAGAATGCCATTGCGGCTGCGTAGTAGAGTAGCTGCGTTATGGCGAACAGACGTATCCAGTGTCTGAGAATCGCCTCCCACTTCGTTGTTGTGACAACATTGAGCGTACGAACCTTTTGACTCGGGCTTCCGGATTCGAGTACTCTCCCGAGGAGGGTCAGTGGACAAAGCTAGAGCTGCGAGGGTGTCCATTATCAAGTTAACCCAGAGAAACAGGGCCGCCATCCATGTCGAGGGTTGTGAGCCGCTGGAGACCGCCAGGATAAGTGCCAACAGTACGGCCGGCACGTTGGCCGTAAGCTGTGGCCGAAGGAATTGCCTCACAGCATCATTCACTGCCTGGCCCCATTTTAGTGCCTTGACAATTGTTGCAAAGTTATCATCCATTATAACAATAGCGGATGCCTCTTGGGCAACCTCTGTTCCGCTCTTACGCGCGGGCTCTTTGACGGCAATCGTGGTACCCATCTCCTTTAGCCTCTCAATTAGGATGCGCTTGTCTTCAGGGCTGGACCGCTGAAGCACGTGCAGCTTGGAAATAATCTTGCTCTGCTGCGGTATGCCAAGATTGCGGAAATTAGGCCCCTGTATAACGACGCTGCTAGGCTGCAAAATACCACAGTCCTGGGCCGTGATTTTGTCTCTTGCCAATGTTCGCACCATCTTGCTTTCCATAGAGTTTAAGGTGGCGGATTTGATAAGCCTGTCCTTGGCGGGCGCGCTTGACATGGACACAAAATTCGTGCTGGAAATGCCGCGGCCATCATCCAGGGACATTCCTTCGTAGTCGCCGGAGTCGCGGAAACTCTGTTGAGCCGTACTGAGTCTATGAGTGGTCCCAGTCGTACCCGAGACAACTGGCATCTTGTTCTGTCTCAAGATACCTGTCTTGTCAGGGCCAATAGTGGTTACATTGCCCATGGCCTCGCACGCCTTCAGATGGCGCACAAAGTTGTTTTTGACACCCAAACGCGTTGTGGCAAACTCTGATGCGAGAGCAGCGGCGAGGAAAAGTCCGTCGAGCACAGCAACAATGACGATGGCGATGACAATAATGGAAATATTGGAAAATAATGGGTCCCCAAAGGTAAGCCGAGGCCGGTTAAAGAGGAACGGGATAAGGAGGAAAATGAGCAAAAGGAGGCTAGCCGAGGCAGCAATCATTGTAATGTAGGTGGCCACGGCGTTAATCTTGCCTTGTGGAGGTATTGGTTCTAGTCCTTTGTTCGGTGACATGATGGTCCTGTCATAAGACGAATAGACGCCGGTCGGGGTAGTAATAAATGTTCCCACGCCTTGGGCGCCAGACTGGATACAAGGATCCAGTTTTGTAACGTTTTCGTGATTCTCGATTGCCACATAAGCGTCTTTGGCTGGTTGATTTCGAACAACTTCGCGTTCCCCTGGCGCTTGGGATTCGTCACACTTGACATGACCTTCCATGAGTATGCCGTCGACTGGAACAAGATCTCCAGGTTCAATGTGGATGGAGCCGACCGCAGTCGTGGCCTCGTTGGACGAAGCCAATCGACTCGCGTTTTCGTAGTCCAAAGAATGCTGTTGTGGTCTCATATTGCCTGTGAGGTCTGAGATAAAGTCTGGATTTCGTTCGCTCCGTAGAATAGGCATTGGGTTCGGGCTTGGAAGTTTGGAAAAGTTACGTGGCGAGACGTTGAGGGAATTAACGGGCATGCTGATGCCGTCGTCCCCTGCCTGGAGCCCTGTAATGTTCTTGTCGGTCATGATCCTTCTGTCGAGGTGGCCACGCGAACCGGAAAGAGTAGTAACGGAAGAGTCGATGAATAGGTGGCTAATCTTGTCGCTCGTTCTCGCTCTGGGCACTGGGGGACCAGAGTCGGTATATTTCGGGGCAGATGACTGCAAGGACAAGGCAGATGGGGAATACGGCGCTGCTATCGGCAAACTTGCCCGTCGTGAAGTGGTCAACGAGGGGAGCAGAGCAAAAGGCCACGGCGGCCCTGATTATATCAAGCTTATTTCTAAGGGGCACCGCGTAAGAAGGACATCAGGGCATGATTATAGAACTTGATTGGTGAAACACACTTTGCCAGGTATTGGAAGTTGTGGAGAGCAAGGACAATGACGACGCAGACCCAGGCAATCCAAGTGCTGTGATGCTGTCAGCTTCGTCCGCCCGAGCTTAAGCAGGAAAGGGAAGGGTTTCCCCTACATCAAGACAAGGTTGCAGAGCCACTCGAAGCTCACAACTTCCGACTTTTGCTTCAGTTGGGATTCAAGAAAGAGTTGGCCCAGTGGAATGCCAATCAGCGCAATAACGAGGAGCTCGTTCCACTTCCTCACAAGCCAGCGCGCAAGACGCCGGGCGGCGTGGGGGAAACGCTCAGTATTTCCAGGCAAGCCGGCTTCGATTTGGGGGTGAGAGTAATCGGTACTACGAGTAGAGACGGAGAGCTGGTTTGGGGGTTGACCAGAGGCAGGGCTGCTCATTGACAGCGGTCGAACAGGGAGGCAAAGATGGTGGGAGGACAAAGCAACTAGGAACTGTACAATGCCAACCAGCACGACTTGAGCGAGGAGGGCATTCACACAGCGGCGAGTGAGGGAGGACGAGGGTGAGGGTCGGGCGATGGGGTCAGGTCTGGTGGGAGGATGCCAAACCTACCAGCTGACATATGTACATGCGTGTGTACGCAGCATTGTGGCGGTGGCAGTTCAAGTTGACTGGCTGAATGACGCTTGGATTCTCTGCAGTACCAGACCGCCTCAAGAAGCAAAGCATCACTTCAGCCATTCCCACAAGTCCAGATGTCCTCTTCAAAACCACTCCGAATCCCCCCATTTCATTTCTCGCGCGGCGGTCCCGGCACCACGGCCTTTTCATCACCAAAGATCAGAGGCGCCAGCGAACCTATGCACTCTTCGGGCAAGTGTGGCAGTCTACGCAACAGCGACGCCCAAAGGACACGTCCCGGGAGATGGAGGCCCAGCGCCTGTTGCTCCAACCCTCGATGCAGCGACTGCGAGCCTAAGAGATTGCCTCTCCATGGCGTTTCCGACCTTCAAAGTGCCATGTCTGGCCACGAGATGCCACGAGCATGTCACATGAATGAATGGCGAGCCCCGTCGAGGACCTCATTCTACCCCTCGCTGCTCAGAGTCTGTCTCGCCTGCGGCATCACATCCATGCAGTTCTGGGTACACCATCAGTTTCTGGGGCAAAGAGTAGGCAAGAGCGTCACATCCTCGGTTGAGCTGCTCGCCGGTTTGCTCACTGCAGACTATCCGGTACGATACTCGCAAGTTTTCGCCCTCATTCGACCAGCCCCAAGATTTGTCACGCTAACTGCCTCCCTTGCCAAGGTTTGCGACCCCAATCGGCTCAAGCCTCCGACCTTCTTGTTGGTACGGTTTCCAGACTCGTTTTTGTGCGAAAACCTCATATTGGCAAATTTGGGTCTCGTCATGTTGTATTGGATGCTCGTGGTTGATCAATTTTGGACAGGCATGTGGAGGAAGAGATATTTGCCGTGGGTTTTACTGGTAGTGGCAATGACAACGGGCTTAATTGGCGAGTTCCTTGTTGGGGACCTGGCAACCTTGCTCCTCAGCGTAGTACCACTCATTTGGAATGCTTGTATGATCAGTTGCCTTGTGTACGATGTGGTCATGGGGAAGGTTGGAACCGAGCTATAAGAGCGGAACAGGGGAGTTGGCTGAAAAGGCGAATGACGTGCCAAATCATTTCTAGCAATCGCCACCAATTTCAAAACAGTAACTACTCATCTCCTGCTCTCCTTGTAATATGGGTCAAGGTTCGGCTTCTTGGGCTAACACGGTTGTAGCATGGATAGGGTCCCCTAGACCAGAAAGCTGTGTCACTCTCGGGCGATGGGTTCTGAGGTTGTTATCAACCCGGCGCCAGGCTTGCCTGCCAATGCTGGCCGGGTGAGTTACTGCGATTTGGATCTAAGACAGCACTTGAGGTCAGAACTACTGTGACGGTCCAGAGGGCAACCCTAAGATTTTAATTCTCTCCTACGACCAGCATATAAGCGGCAGCTTCAATTTGTGACAAGGGCCGGAAATAGGGCTTGGAGCAAGAGGTTCAATTCAATACTATAATCTCGCAAGGTCTCAACGTTCCTTGGTTTCTCCAACAACAAAGAGGAAAATGAACGGTCCGCATATGAGGATAACAGAGATGCCTGACGCTTCTAGCTGGTCTGCGATGCCTTCGTGTCACAACGCTGGGCGCTTCGTTGGGCGGTGTTACCGGTGTGAGATGAGACCTAAGCGAGTTACAATATTCATATTTTCGGATTTCCAACAAACGAATTAAGGTCATTCAGGACAAAGACATGGACAAGGGGATTAAGGGAACCTGGGACGTTAGTGTGGCGGTCAGCAGCTCAGCTTATAACAGTCTGGTTAGTATAGGAGGAGTAACTTAGATAAAGGTAAAAGGCAGGGTAGACATAACAAGTAAAGTGTTTTTTATTACCCTAAGACTAAGAAATAAATAGAACCTATACTTAGGCAAACTAACTGTAATAGTATACGCGCTAAGAATACTACCAAATGTCTGCCGCCGGCGCATAGCACTTTTAACGACGAAAAAGGTGATGGCCCTAAGCCTTCAAAACCCTCAACAGCAATCAGGGCAGAACACATCCAAAGCATCTATGAAGAGATTAATAGATTGTGGAGGAGAAGGAATAAGCCACGGCAGACAAGCGATTCCCTGGAACGAAATGTACCACCTTTAACTTCAAGAAGAGAAAGCTCAAAGCTGAAAGAAACTTATTAGAAGATATACAGGTACTTGGCTATTAAGCTTTATATTATAATATATTTTATAGTAAGTCAATATATTTTATGATCAATTATTTATATAAATACTTAAATATATATAAGAAAAGTTTAAATATACTAAATACCTAGGTAGTAAGGGGATAAGCGCAATAAACGAAAAGAAAATAAGCCCGCCAAGCAATTTACGGCCCCTGATAGGTGCAGCTTGATTTGCTAGGGAGATGGCGCCTTCCGGATTCGGTCGAGTTGTCAAGTATTCAGTGTCACGTATTATTGATTCCACTCTCTGTACAAAAAAGCAAATAGTCTCTTGTTCAATCTGTACCAAATAATCCTTCTATATAGTAATTCATCAAAGTCGTGTTTAACCCCCGCCCGTGCCTGTACCACCACAGCATAGACAAGTTACTGATCGATTAGACTAGGTGGCCTATATATTATTCTCCCTGGCACTATAGGACAGCTTAAATAAACATTGAAACGGTAATTCTGGCGGGGAAACGGAAAGTGACGACCGCATGGTCCTCTGCCACGGTCCAAGCAAGTGCATTGACTGCTTAGCTAGGCGATTTTCACCAAGATCTAGATGCTAGAGAGGAAAGGGAAGCCAGAGAAAGAACGAGACTCGAGGAGAACTCGACTATAGAAGAATATACTTTATTCTAACTTCATGACTTTTCTTTTACTCCGTTTTTATATCTTAAGGGCTATAGGTAATCTTTACTGCATATTATACTCTGTCAAGCGTCCACGTAAACTTGACATATACGCGAGCAAAATATACTAATTCAAGCACATAGATAGCACTTCCCGAGAGCCAAACAGTCTACATCAAATAAACCACTACAAGAGTATTCAGCATGTCATTTATTTTCGTAGAGCCAGCTACATTCTCCCCTGCACCAACACAAGTCTTGTCCTTTATACACCAGACCCCGTCTTCTAGTCACTCTGCTCCGCAAGTCTCTTCATCTCAGCAATCTCCTCCGGTGTAAACGGAACATCGTCAAGTTCTCGCCCCCCTCGGCCCGGGCAGGCCGTAGCCCCCGTAAAAGGAAACCCAACCGCATAGTTCTGCCACAAATGGGGCTTCATCCTGTCCTTACCCAGCGCGACGTCTCCAAGCTTGAACTCAAACTGCCCACTGCACGCGAGATTGTTCACCCCATCGCAGACCTGCATCTCCTTGGTGGCAATGCCCTGGGGGAACCAATACTCTGGCGAAACGTGGGCAAAGCCCGGATCATTCCAGGGCACATTCGTCACGGGGTCGTTGGCATTGGTGATGCGAAAGTTCTTCCCGCGGCCCTGCTTGGTGACGAACTCGGTAAAATTGGCGTCGCCCACGCGGGGAGAACCAAACGTATACAAGTCCAATTCAAACGTAGCCTTGCGGAGATATGTCGCTGCCAAGGTGGCCACGGCCGCGCCGAGCGAGTACCCCGTAACGACGACTTCAAAGTTGGAGTGTGCATCCTTTTGCTGCCGGACCGTCGTCAACATCTTGTTCTTGATGCCCATGAAGCCTTCGAAAAAGCCCGTGTGCACTTCGCACTTATCGCAGAGTGGGAGGAGGGCATCGCCGTCGCCGGGCGGAGGTCTGCGGTATACGTGGTTAGCAGACTTGCAATTGTGTGTGCTGGGAGTTGTCAAGTATCCGACTTACTTGGCCGCCAGTGAACAGGCCGCTCCGACGATATTGACAACGACGTTCCTGAAACCTTTATTTACTGCGTTGCCAAACTTTTCCCGCTGTTCGTTGAGCCATGGGAAGAGTGTCCGGCCAGCCCGTGTTTTGCAAGTCTTCAGGTCGGTGATGACGTCCTTTGCGTTGCCTGTTCCGCGGAAGGACACGACGATTTTCTTCGTTTTCTCGTTGACGGCAACAAAGCCCGAGACGCCTTCGGCGCTGGGGAATTCCATGACGACGACGGAATCCGCAAGGTCGCCGCAGCCGTCGGGAATTCCGCTGTCGCTGGGACAAACTTTGGTTCCGGAGTTGATGTCCCTGCCGTCTGTCAAGTTGTCGCAGTATCCAAAGGCCGCATAGCGAGCGTAGGTGGTGATGTTATGGATAAAATCCTGTGAGGCGATTTCGGCAGAGGTTGCTGCGACGACGCCGAGCAGAACACTCAAGTGTTTGGTTGAGAGACGCATCATGTGTCAAAGTGCAAGAGAGGACAAGGGGAAGTTTGGTGCTTGAATGTTGCTTTTTGTTTTCTTGTTATTTTGCAAAATTTACTTTTCCTGCCTACTAGAACTTTATATATATATATGTGTGTGTGTGTGTATGTATATAGTCTGTATGTGTCTAGTAGTTGCTATCGTATATGCCACCACGTTACCCATGGCTGCGGTGTAACTTCTGCCGGAGATGGTGCAATGCATACCGAGTCAGCGTCCACATTTCGGCAGATGAATGCCACAAGGCCCTGTCGTCCGGAAACGCGGGCTACACGAGCCTGACTCGTTGATGTTACTCGGGCATGGTTCTTGACCCCTTCCAATTAGCCCGTCTCCTGTTGACTTATAGCCTGCTGCGCGTCAATTCAATACCATAGTAAACTGAATCCAAGGCGATACTACAATGTAAGCCTCTAGAGTATGCAAGTTGACATGAAGAATAACAACCAACCATGACTGGTAACAACCAGGCCCGATCAAAGGCTCGTCTAGCAAGATGCTTGTCTGCAGACATGTCGACTACTCGACTACAAGACTCAAAGTGTTTTGGACACGAATGGGTCCCCGAGGCCGTATCCGTATAGGAAAAAATAGGCGAGGTCTTGACGTCTCTCTCGCTCCATAGTCTGGGTTCCTGACAAAGTCTGCAAGCTGCCAAGAAGCTTCGCCACATCCCGTGTCCTATTGCCGTGGATAACTAGTCAATTCACGTTTTCGGTAGTAATAGCCCGCTTGTCACTTGCAGGCTTCATCTTGATTGGCTGAGTATGCCTGGATCAACGTGGCACTGCCCACAAAGTTATTTGATCCATACCAGGGAGCCCCTTGTTTGCATCGAAACGTGTTTTTATTATGGAGCACTTGAGACTACATAAAGACGTTGAGACGTGCAAGATGCCACAGTCAAGGTTGCTCGGCAGGCACCTTAATGGGTTATTTCCAGTCTGCCACTGGTGACGTTACGCCCGGAACGGCAAGCATCATCTAATGCCATGATCTGATGTGCATTATCTGATTCATCGAGCATTGGCAGAATGCGACCCGAACCCTAATTAGTCAATGTTCCAGTCATGTACCTCGCCATCCCCTTCCGGCTTCCCCCGGAGGCCCAGCGCATGTGTATCGATAACCTCTTTAAAATTCTGATCCCTGTCATTGCAACTGTTGGTCGGTGCGGCTGGTGTCCTCTACAGGACACGTAGCAACGACTCCGTTCTGGACGTGGAAGCGAACACAACGTTGAATTACAATCCAACCCTCGTACGTGTAGCCATGAATGGCCTGACAAAGAAGTTGTTGAGGGTTATATACGAACCTCTGTGCTAACAATGGCTATCTTGGTATAAATCCAGGTCTTTCTTTACCCTCATGCGCTCGTTGTAATCATCAACCCCTATTAGCTTGAATTCCCTCGTCATGTTCCCCTCGGCAAATCTTCAGGGTCTGAAGTGCCGTACAATCCATCCCCTGCATGTTTCGCCATGAGTGACCTAATAAAGAAGTTTATGGAGGTTATTTACGAGGGCTTTTATGCTAATAGAATCTCGCTTTATTTATATTAACAGCTGTCAGTTATAATGCAAGTTTTATAGCAGGGGAGTGGTGATTCAACTTTCAGGGTCTAGATCGTATACAGCGTGCATGTCTCATCACATACACTATTTTCATTCCCCGAGTCAAACCAACCCTCTTCACAG